TTACATCTGCTTTCCTAACACAATAAATAAAACTATGGGAAGGAAACCTTCACACAGTTTTAAAGAGTCCGTAAGCTTCCCTCCTCTCTCTCACAAGAGCAAGAAAATGCAGCTCTGTTGCCTTCCTCTATTACCCACCAAAGTTCAAGCAATGTTAAACAGAGACATCACTGAGCATCTGCAGCCAAATAAGCACTTACAAACAGTTGTATCTACTGAAGACACCAACATTTTAAACAGTTGATCTCAAGTATCTGAGCAACCTGATCTAGTTGAAGAAGTTCCTGCTCATTGTGGTGGGAGCTGGGAGTAGATGACCTTTAAAGGTCCCTTCCAACCCAAACTACTCTATGACTCTGTAAGTAGAATTGATAAAAGATTAATAACAACAGATTACCATAAATATAACTGCAAAATATGGCCTCAGTCCTCCTTAACTTCAATCCCAAAAATTCCAAGGCAGGTCAGGATTTTATTATTTATTCAAACATGAGAGTAAGAAGAGTGGCGAGTCATACGACTCTTCAAAATGTGCAGAATGGCTCCAGACTAACGCAGCTGCAGAGCCCCACCGCGCTGCACGCGTGGGTTAAGCTGCTCTGGACGTGCATCGCGTTAGATCTGCAGCTGTGCAGACATAAAGCAAGAGCCAGCATTTGAGGCGAGAACAAACCCTGTGCTCTGACCACCCCAATATGGGATTAAATATAAATGGAGCCTTTCGTGACGCCAACAGAAAACATCGGCACAACTTGCAGAAATTTGATCAAACAGAATGGATTATCAAGGATGTGAAAAGTTAGGCATTGCTATCTAGATAGCAACAGAAAGCATCTAAATCTAAGGAGGCGCTTTCCCTAAATAAGGAGGGTAGGAGCCAGTGGTCACTCTGCCCTTTAAAACCTGATCTCTAACAACGCTTGAAAGGAGCGCAATAACTGAACAAAGGGTGTTTTCTGCTCAGAGCAGCAATGGTGTTTTAAGGAAATGCCTTCATTGGAATTTAACACTGTGGAAAAATGCACTGCGCCCGAGTTGTCACTACTGCTCTAGCAGGGGTAAGGGAAAAATGATTTGTCATTTAGTTGCTTCCTCTATGAAACTGCATTCGCAGAAAAAATTACATCTGCAAGACTGTTCACTGAATTATATAGTGAATATATATTTAACTATGTGATCTTGTTGAAACAGAGACTTTCAAATGCCTGGAAAACACCTAATGCATGCTGGCTCCACCACATAATACTGGGCACACACGTATTAAACTCTGCACATTGAAATACTCGTATTTGCTATGTAATTCACTCACCGTGCTCCATTACAAGCTGTTTGCCTTAAGGTCATTATATATCTGCAAGATTATTTTAGTCCCATCCCACATCCATCTGTCCCACTTCCCCCTCCACATGCAGACTTCTCAGCAAATATGCAAGTCCTACATCTTTCGTAACGGGATCTTTGAAGCACCACAGCGCTGTTCTCCCTGTTGTCTCCATTAAATGTAACAGCTTTACAGCTCAATCCTTAAACAAAATGTTTCTCTGCAAGCAAAAGTAGTATTGGCCAGTTAATTTCCTTTGCATCAAATATACTTTACAAATAGTGTTTCCCAAACAAGTGCTGATTTCTGCGGCTCCCCTCTGAGTTTGTGAGATTAATGTGGCACTGCCAGAATGTTTGTTATGCAAAGCTTCACTGCGGAGGACATCTAGGTCATTACCAACCTATTTCATGCTTTTAAATTCAGAACAGTATCCTCCAGTAAGGTCTGAAGCCAACAATCTGTGCCTTTCTCTGGAAGGTTAAGTTTGTTCAAAACTTCCTCTGCACTACCAAGCTGTACCTTTGTTTCTGCCCTGTCTGAGCAGAATTTGGGTAGGCTGGGATAGAGACCTGCACCACTTCAGCCAAGCTGCTTCATGCAGTTACAGGGCTATTTGTGGACTCTGTCCAACACAACAGCACCTACCGCATCATTTGGGACACAGGTGCTCGCATGCTTCCCTGCCAGTTTTCGTCATCACGATTAAAGACAAAACATAAACCTTATTTTTTAGTTGCCTTTAGCAGACTGTAGAGCCTTAACCAGAAAGGTGATAAACAATGTGCAATTATTGGATTGTTATAATTACCATTGCTGCCAGCTAGGAAGCCTTGCAGTCCACCACTCAGAAGAATCACTGTAAGCCATTGTGCTGTACCACAGCAGACATTTACCATCACATGCAATTCTTTTCAATAAATAAATAAAACCCACAACCTTCTCTGTATAAAGCCAATCTCCTACATGTCCTCAAACCTGTCTTTCCTCCATAATCCTGTTAGTGTAACCTCTACTACTGCTTCTCAGATTCTACCTTTTCCATCACTGCTCCCTCTCTCTTCTCCCTGTTTTCAAGTGCTCTCCAATTACTGCAATGCACAGCAGATTCCCACTGGAGAGAAACGACATTTCTTCCTCTCAGTTCAGAAGTTCACAGAGAAAATTGGAGGAGCGTACCTGAGCCTCGTAGAGACTTCACCACCTTCTTGAGCAACCCATCCCACATCTGCAAAGGAGGCCACGGCATCCTCTCGAAGTTGATTAGGATGGTTTCCTTCTGTGGCATGGGAAGTAAGCTAGATTTTAAAGACAAGATTGAAGGTTTTAGAGTCACTGTTCCCAGCCCATGTCACAGTTATTTAACCCATACTTTTAGTGAGGCTACACATAACTATTAACACATACGTGCACAAAACACACCTGTAGATTTAGCATACACATTTCTGTCCTGGGCTTCATCCAGAACCATTTCACTGACTTCAAACTATTCAATCTACACTTCTGAACACTTTACAGAAACTATTTTTGTTTTTAAAGTTCACGGCTAACTACATCTACTATCACATGACACTACTGAACACTGAAAATACAATGCAAAGTGTTACCTTAAAGACAAACATCAACATTCTCAACTAGCTTGCTATATTAACTTAAATAATATGCTTTTAAATTATATTCATGATCAGTAGGTAATAAAGACATTAAGGCTACTAATACTTCTTACGTGTGTTTGCTCTGATTTAGTATTATTTTGAAAGTGAAATTCTGTTCAAATGTGTTTCCCTTCCCCTACAACTTCAGAATTTCTGCACAAGAAGTGTGTGCACCACACAGGGGAAAATAAATTAAAAAACAAAGAAGTCATTTCTACTAGCTCAGTAATCACAAAGACTTTGAGTGAGAGGTAGGATGCAATCATAACGGAACACACTATTTGCTAACAGTCTCATTTACAGCGTGCCAAACAAATCGACCATTTCCCAGCATGGTTCTGCCATTAGCTTTACAGCTTTCTGAAGCCAAAGGTGAGCAAGGCTCCAGAGACCAGAACCTTCCCTAGATTTACAGTGAAGTGACCTGAATGGAGATTTGAAAAACTGTTCGGACCATCAACACGTGCTCCATAGTCACAAATACACAAAATGGTTTCAAATCTCCTTCGAAACAGTGGCTGCTTCCCCGGGTTACACAGGGGCACGTGTACTCAGCCACTGAGCAGCCTGGTCTCAGTATCTCAGTATCTGATAAAAGCTACCAAAATGTCTTCCAGTAATTTCTCCTGTTCACCTTGAGTTTCTTATCTCCAAAGCAACTACGCCACCTCTTTTGCTTGTATTACATACCATCCACAGGCCCAATCTGCACATTAGTCCTTGCAGCTGTTTAAGTGTTGCCTGCTGCTGCTAGCAGCCAAGCAACCAGAAATATTGACAGAGAATGGTGGTAGCATGCAAGAGTCTGTGAAGACGACTTTGATGCTGCCTGTTAGCACTTAGGTCAATTTTCAAGGCACCTCACCTCTGTAAGAGGCAACTATTACGTAGCAGCAACTCTGAAATGTTGGTATTAACCTGAATTTGCAGCAGACCTATCACAGTAGGACTGCAGTCTGCATGAGGTGAAAGCATTTCTGAAGAACAGATACTTTCGTTGTAGCCTTTGATACACAAGTCCCAGGAAGACAGAAATTGTGGGTCTGGGGTTGGTTTTTTCCCCAGAAGTTGTTACAAACAGCTTTGGAAATCGAGATTAGACATCTTCACCTCACATTTTCACAACTTGTATGTGAGCCTTTATCACAGCTCCCAGGAGTGTGTATTGGCACCACCAGATCATTTGGAAACAACAGGGTTTTTTCCAGGTAGCATCAGCACAGATGGTAATATGCTTATCACATTAACAGTTGTGCCTAATACCATCACAGCCTGCCTCTCTTTAAAACAGTCTAGAGAATACTATAATGCGTGTTAGGATTTTCATTGTTTGACATTTCCTTGGCTTTTTTCTTTTTTAAAATAAAGAGGAATTTTCATGACCACAGCATCTGTATTCATGTTGATGGCAATTTAAAAAATTTGTAACACATCAGCCACCTCTTGCAGGCGATACAGATTTTCCCGATGGTAATGGCCACTTGAAGAACTATTACCATTAAAAGACTGAAGCCACATTTAAATAAAGGCACTACACATACTTGCACCAAAAATATTTTTATAAATCAACAGTAAGGAATGCATTTACCACTGCCAGGCTTCCTGCATTGTGAGATAAATAACTTCTAACCCAACATTTAGTAGCAAGCCTTCTGTTACCCCATATACAGGTATTTCTTCTCTCCATCCCTAAAAACAAGGCTGTCCACAGCAGTGGATTTTGAATTTCAAATTAACGCAAGATTTTTACTTCAATTTAAAGGTTAAAAGCCAACACCTATCTCTTAAAACCTTTTTCTGTCTGTAGAATTATGCTTAAACACCTCTGCGTGAATACCCTATTCTTCCAGCCAATCTCAGCTGAAGAAAAGTTGGACAACTGCTCTGCCAGCACCTGAGATGGAGAACAGAGCTGCAAACAGAGGCTCAATTCCAGTGGATGGCAGGAACTGAATGAAACAGTGAAAGTAGCCTGCTTTGCTTTGAAAATGAGTTGCTTACCCTGCTTCCTCCTTCACAGGCTTTTTTTTGCCTATTTCAGAGTGCACATATGCTGCACACACACACACACACGCACGCCTGTGGGTTTCAGACCCACATGCATGAATTTCTGAAGAAAAACTACACACACTGTACTGTACATGCATGAATTTCTGAAGAAAAACTACACCCACTGTACTGTTTTGGCTGATGTCAGAATCATATAACATCTGGAACTGAAAGGGATACATAGAGAATCGTGGCCCATCTGCCAAAAACAGGCAGCCTCGCCAGTGTTTCCGCCCGGTTTCGAACCGGGGACCTTTCGCGTGTTAGGCGAACGTGATAACCACTACACTACGGAAACGCTGCTTAGAACAGTGTCCAAGCAGGATCCTGCTTTTTGTCTGCTCCAGGAACTAGAAAGCAGAACAAACACATTTATACATTTAAGGACAGAATAAAAACTCAAAAAAGTGCACATTATGAATACAGTTAGATATTAAACATTTGGAAATACTTCTTCAAGTAAGACAAACTTGCTAGGACTTTTCTAAGTAGCCCAGTAAATTCTGACGTTTGTTACATGCACGCTAATTCCTTAGGAGACTTCTACTGAATTATCATCAGGTTTCCATCAGACAAACAGGAGAAGCACAGGACTAGAACAGAGATGCTGCAGCAGAAGGATGTTATCTCGAGAGACAGTATTTTAGGTTTGGTTGAATCTACGTAGGATATGTTGGCAAGTCTGCTTTGTTCTAAAGACTACAGAAAATCTAAAAAATATGACATACAAAAGAACTACACGAGCTGTTTTCATTTGTTCATGCCATACAGAGTGTATAAGGTAACCTTTGCTACCACTTACTAAATACATAAGGAGCATTTAGCAATTAATTTATATGTTGACTACGGCAGAATGCACAGACACAGATACTACAACAGTCAGTAGTCCTCGAAAATCAAAACGTTAGGCTACTGCTCTTCTTTTTCAGACAAACTGAACAAAAGCATGTAATGAGAGATGAAAGAATAAACGTAACAGATATTCTTTCAGTATCTCTTATCCACTTATTGTAAGGAAAATGAAGGCCTGTGGAAAGTTTGTTGCTCTCAGATGAAGTTAGAAACACTGATGATATACATGCACCCTCAGATGAGGCAAGTAAGGTTTGCTTTGTTTTTTAAATAAAGTGACTTACAGCAAGGTGCAGTGCATGGTCCTTTCATAATATAGCTAAAGCTGGCAAGAAAAGAAAGAGGAAGAGACAGCTATAGGAAAGTTTCAGTTGCATCAGCATAAAAACCAATCGAGACCCGTATTGAACTTTACTATAGAATCTTAATGCTGAGATAAAGACATAAAAAACAGATGTTAGCATCACACTTTTACACAGTCAGCAGTTTATATATTAAAATAGTTTAAAGCCTGCATAAAACATACACATTTTCATCTGTTTCAAGGCCCAAATGTTGAAATTCATATCCTAATTCAATCACTCCTGACAATGTTACTTCTATTTCTAGGATCCTTCCCTTTCGTCTAATAGAAGATGAATGTTTATACTTAGCGTGCATAAAGTCTAAGCACAGCTGACAGAATGTTTCTTTAAGAGGGGAAAAAAGGCAAATATTTTAGTTATTCTAACACAGAATTCAGAGGAGGACATATACATATTTTTATTTCAACACTAAAAATATTCAGGAACAGATGTACCTGACAGCTTTTTGCAAGTACAGAAAACAGAAATGTCTTCTTTTATGCACCCTATTAAGAGAAGGCAGTATTTGACAAACTATCAGCAAATGAGCATCATCTTCCCTTGTATGGCCTTTACTATACAGAAAGTCAGAAATTATAGGAAGATTTCGCTTACTTTCAAATCTGAGGCACAGGGAGCCTTATAGCTGGCATAACCACTATTAATTATCTATCCAAAAGTTCAAATCCAGCATGTCTTTTTGTTGTCCTTCTCACCTGCACAAATTCCTACTTCCACAACGTATATATTTTTTTTCCATATTTCACCAAGCCACCAGCAGTGGGAGATGGCTGCCCTCCCAGCCAGGTTCTCAATGTAATTATTTCAGAGGGGAAAAAAAAATCTTAGCATGGCTTTTGCTATCACTCCAAAAAGACTTCTACGGTAGTTTGAATTCTCCGGTTTTGCTATTGTAATTTTAAGTCTAAATATTGTTCATACATTTTGTATAGCATAAAGAAATTAATTTAAACAGTGAAAAATGAAGCTGTGTGAAAATTACTTTGTCTTCCTGTGAGTGATGATTCCCACTATTCACCTTTATGTTCCCCTCCCTCGCTTGGTGGAAGAAACATTCTTCTTTGCTTGAGTTTCAAACACTAAATTTCTCCAGTTCTATACCCACCCCCTATCCCTAACACAGACAGAGTTGAAGAGAATATGTGTAACAGCTTCCATTTTCCCATCTGTTCCTGAAAGACTTGTTATAAAAAGCCAGGGTTTCCTCCTCCTGAAGCTTTTACCCTCGCTCTTTACCCTCCCACTACATTCAGTTGAACTCAAAAGCAAACAAGACAGAATGCTGCACAGAACTGATGTTCCCCTTTCACCTATGCAGTGCTAGCCTTGCATTTAAAATAAAAGCAAACAGGCTACTCATGTTATCTTGTTACTGATTTTTAACTTTCTGATAAAGTTATTTATTTTCCCAAATATGTTTTAGTAACACTGTTCAACTTTACATGCCTCTTCAGCCTACCTTGTAAATACTGATTGTAGAACTAAGTAGCAAACATTTTTCTCACTTATGAATATATTTTTTCCAATAACTTTCTAATACTGTATTGCCTCATTTTAGAAGTTGCAATTTCCTTAGGAAAAGAATGTGTTTCAAAGTTTCATTATGTGTGTTACAGCAACATGGATTCAGATTTTAGGCAGTACAGAAGCTGAAGAATCCATATTTGAGAAAATACCTGAACTGGAAGTGGGAAGAACTGAAGTAAGCTTATTCTCCTATGTGCCCAGTTTATCATATTTTGCTTTTACACACCCTCTAGTCACGTATTTACATGAACTGCATATTTGCTTAAAATGTTTTGATACAAGAGCAAATCCCTTTATAATATTTGTTTCACTATACTGATAAACTGTTGAGAATACCTACCTGAAACTGAACTCTTGGACACTGTATAAGAGAGAGGTTAGTACCAATTTTTCTTACAATACTTCGAGATGAACCGTAAGGCTTGCTCGACCAAAGCACCTAGATGGGAAAGAAAAAGAAGGCAGCTGTTAGGTAATTGATTTTCATACCATATTGGAATAGTTTTCCCTTATCCTTCCATACTATGCTTGTGCCAAACATATTTAAAGTTATTCCTTTCATGCTAGAATAGAATATGATATATAGACAAATGTCAGTGTATCAGTGAACTCCTTACATTCCACACCCAAATTGGCACAAAATTTGTTTCTTTCGTTACAACACAGATGTGGCTCTTTAAATTCAAGACGCACTTTGCATTAAGTTTAAATGCAAAGCGATAAATCAGGTAACACAGAAGGATTCAAAAGTTGGAAGCATCTTCAAAGACATAATTTGTCCATTTTCAAGCCAAAGAATATGCATTGGGTCAGACACATCTTTTTAAAGGCTTTCAAGAAAAGGCATTCAATCATGAATAATCCATCAAGTTATCAATCCCAAAATATCTTGTTTCTTTTTTAATTAAGAGCTCTTCTAACTCAGGAATAGTATCTACCAGTCTTAATGAAAATTACTACCAGCTAGTATACGCATGAAAATGTAACTGTGAAATTAAAGAGCAAAGAAAAGGAAAAGGGGGAAAATAAATATACAAAAGTGAAACTTTGTCCTAAAAAACCCATACATTCCCCTAGAGAAAGTTGCCTACAGCACCTCAACACACCTGGCTTCATCAGAACTGTTTCTACTGCAATTCAGATTTCTTCTACGTTTTTTTAACAGGGATTGAATTTGCTTTCTTTTGTTGTGCTTAATGACAGGAATGTTTGCTCTACTATTTAGCATAGTTGTACAAAATGAAATGAGACTTTAATCCTAGGAGAATACTACAAAATGAGCCAGAACACAAGCAAAAAAAATAAAAACAACACAGAGCAGTAGGAAAGATTTCAGCACAGGGAAAGGCAACAAAAACAATTCAAAGAAGAAGAATAGGAAGACTCTAACACAGAGTACGTTGTTAATAAACAATTAGAACACTGTATGGTAATTTTAAAAACCTGACCAGTGTTTACTTATGGCTGTAGATACGAATTTACTACTGAGACCTTAGTTTTTAAAGGCTCATAGCTTCAAGCAAACTCAACATCCTGTTAGAAGGTTGCCCAACAAAGAAAACTTAGATAAAATCCAGGCTATTAATATTGAAACAACCCTCATCTGACACAGCAACATGGCCTGTGTGATTCGTGTAGTGCGGCTGTGGGAGTTTCACAACACACAGCTGAATAACACTTTAATATACACGAAGCAAATATACACACTACTCTTAGATTGTGAAGGTTCTATGAAAAAGAAAATTTTATGCTCCATGGTATTTATCCCAAGATTATGTCAACTCAGAAACTTCACACAAACATTCTGTCTATTTCTAAACAAGTATCTTTCCTTCCTTGAGCTTTGTTGGAATGTATCAATTTTGACAAAATAAACGTGCACTACACTAGATCTTCACATCTCAGCTGCAACTTGGCCGTTAATCCACTCAGACCCTTTTTTTTCCCATTCTATTACCGTCTCTTTCTTAACATGTTGCTAAGTCTGAATACATTTTCTTTCAATGCAGAGTACTCTATTGATTCTGCATTTCAGATGCCAGAAACAAAGACTTCACATTTGTGATAATCACATTGCTGTTTGTCTGTAAGTCTGAGCAAACAGCAGGTGGATCAGGAGCCTTCAAGAAAAAGTCACCGACAAACAGTACCGCAGCAATTCAGCTTCACTATTCACAACAAATTCTGATGTCAGAATTTCTAATGTCTGTCAGCAATAGCCTCAAACCAATGTTGCATTGGAAAAAAATACTAATAGTCAAGGGAAGGCTTAAATAATTACAGAAGTACTCTAACAACAGCAGAAAAACCTATACTATGTGCTGGATTACCAACATAAATGCAGTGCATTTTAAACAAGTGGTGAAACTTGCTTAGACTTTGCTCAGACCACAGACAAGATGTTGAGTAGCACCCAGATCCTCAAAAATATTTGCTGCCCAAATGCCCTTGGGGTTGTTCAACAGCAGTGGTTTGGTGCCCCAAAACTTTCAATGGCTCAGTTTTGGTAATTCAACATATGCCAGGACAATATTTTCAGAAAACTGCATGCAAGATGTGTCACAAGGTACGCAAATAAATTCAGCACGCTGCTCAGATGTGCTAATAAGTCTTAGCACTGCTCTACCCAAGTTCACACAACTTCTTGTTGACTTGAAGCACTGGCAGAGCAAGTCTGCAAAATACGACTGAGTCATAGCTTCTTATTGCATCAGTGTCTTGCTATTGTCCAGAACAGCTGGCATTTGGAAATGTAATTCCACTATTACAAGCTTGATACAAGTAGAGAATGAGGGGGGAACAGATTAAGAACTTGTTCCTTCCCTCATTTAGGCTGAAAGCTGTTGCTGACAATGACCACAATAATACCCATAAATGTCCAACACATTGTCATACTTTGAATTTTCAGTTACACTGCAAGAAATCTCAGATCAAAGTCCAAATAAAATCCTAAAATACAGATTCTTACTGGCAATTTTAATTTACAAGGCATAAATATTTTGCTCTCCATAGATTCCCAAGACTGATAAAAAGTTCTACCACAATAATCCATAGTAAGAACCACCCTTCCAAGTACTGCACGTAGCTTTTAAGGATTTCCCCACTGTTAGAACATGAAAATATTTTGACATCTCACAGAGACTACTGCATTGAGGTCTTCTACTCAAAATAGCTTCCTAAAGGTCCCAGTGACAAAGCACCTGATGTGTAGTAGATTTCTCTCTCTCTCTGCTAAGCATTCAAAGAAAACTCTATATACGCTTTCTCCCAAGAGGAGGGCTATGTATGCACATTCCTCTCTTTCCCCAGTAGAGAACACAGCTGTGTTGCTCTCATGCACTCCAACACTTTCAGGAGAGGTAAACTTAGCACAATTATCATCACATCAGTTTCATGAGGCTTTTCAAATCTCCACACATACAAGTCCAGCATGAAAAGCAATGTTTACAAGGTAAACAGTTTGTTATTAGAGCTAGAAGGAACTGCATGAGTTTTTTTAACACATATATTACTCAATACTTCAGTGTCCAAGTAATAAACTTCATACCTTTTCAGCAATGCAGAATCAATACAAGTATTGAGTATACTTAAAGAATTTGGCTGGAATAGATAAGCACAAACTAAAATAAATTAATTAAATGCTTTCTATACCTGATTTTCTGAAAAGACAAAGCAAGTTTAAAACACTTACTGATTCCATGTTTAATCCAACTTGCTCAAAAGCCATCCTAATTAAGCGCTTAAGCCAGCAAATCATCTGGAACGGAAAAAGCCTTTCCAAACCTGGATTTAAGGCTTCCAAACCTACAGGGCTGCGGAGGTTCCATAGTACTTCTGAAATAAGAGAACATAAGAATTTTAGAACATAGACAGAAATAAACTGCTGTATGCATTCCTAAAAAACAATTCCTAAAACTATAAAGCACAGGCATTCAGAAGGCATTTCCTTAATACAGGTGACGAAGATTTTTTGTGTCAGTTTTAAGAAATCAAAGCTGTCACAAAGTTAACGACTAAAAAGCTGGGGAAATGATTGCTCACTTGAGCTTGGACAGATGATGGTGCTCAACAACTCTGAGTGAGCACAGGACACTACGGAGTGCCTACACCTGGGCACCAAGATTAAAGGCACATACTCCTATTTAAAACTCATTTCTGTAAAGGAACAAATATAGGAAGCTGATCACCTCTCTTCATTCACATTCTCTGACAGCTTTGTTGTTCCCTCCTTTTTCCCCACAGCTGAGGAGAGAAAGGAAACATGGAAAAAATGACGAATGCAATAAGATGACAGGAAATAGCATAGATGTGGACCTGAAAATATTGAAGCTATTTATAAAGTTGGACAGATTTCAAACTGCGTCTATTTATATGTACTACCATTTGCTTAAATCAAGATGTTTTTATTGCTCCTTTAGTGAAAACAGCATAGCTTTTCTTTAACTGTGTTCTACACCAGTCATAACTTGGATGCCACTGAGAAATGTATGCCACCAACAACAAAAAGGAAGCCACAGATTTCGGTTTACGTTTGTTTTGTGTATCAGGCTAGAAACAACACACTGTTGAATCACCCTGAGCAATGTATTTGTAGTATGAACAACAGTGTTGCTGAAGCCACTATATATATGTGTATGTGTGTATATATATATATATATACACACACACACACACACACACACACACACAGTGATGACTAAAGCAACATAGCAGCAAGGAACTGGTAGTTGGGAAGCTGGAAAGTCAGGAGATGGAAAAGCTTTGCTGTTTGAAAGTGCCCACAAGCATTACAGTTAAACCATCACTGTTTCCGTTACAAATGGGGTTTTTTTTTCAGCAGTTCACAGTTCCTTAGTAAGAACCTGCTTCTTGTGGAAACTTGGCAGGAACAGTGCAACTCTACGGTTATATATTTTTTTTAGATAGGCTTAAGAAGAAAAGTTGCTATTAGTTTCTCATCACCACAGAAAGTAAAAGACATTTCCTAACAAGATGTTATAGGAAGAAACTACTAATCTCTACTAAACTATCAGCTAAAGGAGGACTAATGAAAATGTAAGATAAAAGAAGTTGCTTAAAAGAAAAAATAGTGAACCAACCATCACGAGAATAGAATGGAAACTGAAATTGTTAGAAGAAAAACAACAGAGGAGAATAATGGGCTACCTACCAAAGCCACAGCAGTACCTAATAAATAAGTCATGGACTTCTTCAAGGAAAACTGCAAAAGTCTATTAGGGAAGCATTACCATCTACTTGATCTATTCTTCCTTTAGGCATCTGTTATTCTTCCCATAGACAAGCTACCGTATGGACTGTATGCATCTTTGATCACATTGCACCTGCTGTGCTTTTAAAACAGGAACAATACGAGTCTTTCTACATGCCCCATGTTAGATCTGGCACCGTATCTGGTAATGTAGACATGCAGTGACATAAAAGAGACAGGAATGCTCCTTTAAAAAGGGAAATCTGTTCCAAAAGCGTCATCCCTGTGATGCACTCCGCCTCATTCCAAAGTTCAGACTTGTTCAACACGTAGTGTGGAAATCAAAGAGAAGAAAAACAGAAGCTGTGTCAAGACATCCAAACAAAATAGGAAAAAAAGGTAGAGACTGTATCGCACAGCAATTGTGAGGATGGAGCTGGCTGGTAAAAGCAAGTGGTAGCACTATAAAGGGATGACTCTATCCTGATACATTGCTCTTTCAACAGATAGCCAGCTCATTTGATTAAAAATTCCCAGCCAGACTCAGAGTCATGAGTTGTTTCAGGAAGTGAAGAAAAAGTAGTATTTTCTTTCTGATCAACTGAGAAGACCGAGTCTTTAATAACAGAGACAATTTGGACAGAAGTGAAAAGTGTTAGAACCTCCTCTGAGGAAATCAGAGCAGGTCTAGAAAGTTTCCATGAACTCAAGAAACTGAGGTAAAGAGGTAAAGGAATGACGCAAAAATTGGCAAGATAACTAATTAAAGGCATGAGCAGACACAGAATAAAGGTAGCATAATATTAAGGTGACAAAATAGTATAAATATGAAATGGTACATTAAAAAGGGCTAAGGTTCAGGGGTACCTTAAGCAAGAGACAAGAGATACAGCCACAACGTAATGAGTAATATAGATAAGAAGTATATTCTGTGCTTTCACTTGAAGACAGTAGGAAAGAGAGAGACATACGTTAGAATGGGTTACAGACAACGGAAATGCTGTAAGCATCTAGGACAACAATGTCTAATGAAATTCTGAAATACCAATGATTACTTTTAGAAGCTTGTTCAATCAGATCCAAGAGACCTAGGAATAAAAGAAGGTGCATGATGGCACAAAGCATCGGTAATAATTCAAAATACCTATCCTGCCCTAAAACATTTAGGTTTAAACCTAGTTATAATTACAGGCTCCAGGACTTTGATGATGGAACACAAAAGAGCATTTACTCAACAAAACAACTACTTTAGTAAAATGATTATCTATCACATTACAAACCATTGTTTCTTCTGTAGCCTCAATACTTAACGTACCTAAGACTAGGATCATCCACTCCTTGCTCTTGTCAATGCCCTGTGATCTGCTTTACCAGAAGAAAGTGAGAGAAGTCAACCTGTAAGAATGCAGTTTCCTTAGCTCCTGGCACTAAGGAAAGCCACCATATTTTAACAACCTCCAGCTAATTTGTTACCTAAAAGGAGATCCAGAAGGAAAATGCTTCTAAGGGTATCAGCTTGATACTTTTATGAGATCTATTAGTTTTCCAGAATTACTCCCAGACAAACTTGATACTTGTTTCTTCCGAACCACATTGCACTATACCTTTCTTCATAAATCTCACTCATTTCACAATTACTTTCTGTGCCAAGAACAGAAAGAGTTCATTCCAAATTAAATTTCTGGACAGCAAGAATGAAAACATTAGCAATTTTTTCTCTCATGCTCAGTATACTTCCCAATTTCAGAAGCAGGAGTTAAATGCTTATTGCTCTCAGTAAGCTAGGATAATACCTCTTTTAAAATACTTGCTTTATTTACCCTCTGTCTTCTAAAAATAACAGTAGTTTAATTCCCCTAAAACATCTACAACCCATTTACTACAGTAAAATGCCCTGAGTGATAGTAATACTGCTATAAAACATGGTCCTTCTGCTGTGCTAAGAAAAACTGTTATAACGATAAGCGGCAGTCACAGGCAAGATTCCCAAAAGAGGTTACAAGAGTAATAACACAAAGAATTGCATTTCACTGCGGGGGCTGGAACGTCATGGGTTCCTCATTTATAAAACTCTGCTTACACAGAAATTAGCAACGCTGAAGAACTTTCTTTCTGATATGGAAACATGCAGGAACTCGCTGGTTCAGAAGTGAGGAGCTCTACGTTTCTGAGTGCCGTGGTTCTCACTTTAGCCTTGATCTCTCTTTTGCAGCTCGTTTTTCCCAATCACTTTAGCAGGTTTAATTCAATACTGTCATATCAAATATCAGTCTACAAAGCTGAGAGATAATACCACTTATAAATCACAAGCTGTTCATGTAACAGCTGTACAGATAAGGCAAATCACTGGGTAAATATGAAATGAAGCCCTTTGCCTTTCTAGTGAGTCCTGCACATGAAAGGCAAAAAGAAAGAAAAATCAGATGCAACTGCTTTCAAATTGAAATTCTTCTATGTGTATTTTCCAATGTTATATTTGTCCAAGTCCCTTTCAAATTCTGAGTTCTAGCTCTTAAAAAGAAAAACAGTGTTCATATTTTTCATACTAAGGGAAGTTTCTCTCATTCGTGTAAGATCCACACAAATATAAAAGAGAATGACTTAATGGGCTTGATGCAGCAGATCAGCCTTAACAAGGAATACACAAATGCATGAAATGTGAAAAATGAAAGGTCTAGTCTTTAAATTGAAAGGATATGTATAACATAACGAAGCACAAAATTTTCAAAGCAGCATAGTTTCAAAGGAATATCAACCACATTAAAAAATCCAATACAAAATGAGCAGGTTCCTCCTTATTTTAGCAGGAAACTAAGGCACGCATATCTTCAGTCTTTAAGACTCACGCATGACCCCAGCTCATCTCATGAAATTACACCCATAAGGAAACATATTAAAGAAGTAATAAAGAAAGACAAAGCCAACAAAAAATTATCACAGCAACGGCAAGCCAAGCAGGCAGGAAGAATCTTCTGATAAAGGACTAGATCTTCTCCCACATCGACACAGACCAGCTATAAGTAACGTGAGCATTTGGCAGAGATCACGGAGCGAAGTACAGAGGTCTATTTAATGGCTTGGAAGCCACAAATAATGAAGTGCCCTACTACTTTCTGAAACACCTGTTTGGAAAGACATGCAAAGAGAGACAGAAGTCAGTCAATACTACACAGACAATTATCTAAGCTAATATCAGCATGGAATCTAAAGCAAGAATTTAAAATAATACATACTTGCAACAGAAATTGTTAAAGCTTTCTTAAAAATACAGCCCAGTCATCTATACCTCAAAGTGCAAAACCACAGTCATCACATCTTACCCATGTTACCATATCTTGCCAACTAAGGAAGGAAAAAAAAATAAATCAATGCTTCAACCCTGGTTTAATCAAAAGCCTCCTCTCAGTAGAGTTTACAGCTACATGGTGCAATATGATACCATGTAGAGGTAAATGGAATCCTTCAACACCTCTAATGGATTATACTGTACAGACATCACCATACACCTACCCTTTCCTGCCAGACATACAAACCTCCCTACTCATCGCTGTGAATGCCAGCCTTTCTGCTACATCTTTGAGAAACAAAAGCATGCAAATTTTATTAACAGAAGGT